GTGTCTAAATATTTTTAACTAAATATTTAGTTTATTAGGGGCTAATCAGGCCCCGCCCACTTCGGCAGCCTCTTTCTTACAGATGAGTGCCTGTCAGTGAAGCTGAAACCCTCTAACAGATGCCCCAGGTAGAGGGATTCTGGGAGAAGAGCAGGTGTTCCCATTTAATTTTCACTTCCCAAGAAAGTATGTAGGCTGAGGCTGCCAGGCTTGGAGTCATCAGAGGGCTGCCAGCATAATGTGCACATCTTAACTAGACATATCTCTCTTCTCTACTGCCCCCACATTTTTGAGGTAAGGTCACACAGTTTTTCCCCATACCCCCTTCTTCCACTCCCACCCAACCTGTGCTGGGGAATTAGGGGCAGCCTGGCTGCAGGCCTGTGCTGCCTCAGTGCCTATCTCTATGGAACCAGACTGTTCTCCCTTAGATGCCATTTCCTGTTTCAACACTGTTAGGGAAATAGTCACACACAAACACACCTGGAGAGTCACAGGGCTGGGAGAAGCAGGTAATTGGTTGTACTCACTTGCTGTAAACAATGCAGTTGATTCATTTGGGGGACAAAGAAAATTGTCTGTCTTTAAGGGATTGTGATGAGCAAAGGGATTATAACATTTCTATAACTGCTTGTTACCAGAGCCACTAAGAAGACTCAAAGCCTGGGCTCCCGTAGTTCCAACAAAGTAGCCTGTGTGTCCTGTCCCCAACATACAAATTAAATAAACTGGTAATAGGGGCTGAAGAAATGGCTCAGCAGTTAAGACTGCTCTTCTAGAGGATCTGGGTTCGATTCTCAGCACCCACATAGTGGCTCACAATCACCCATAACTTCATTTCTAGTGGATCTGACACCCTCTTCTGGCTTCTGTGAGTACTGCACACTCATGGTTCACAGACACATGCAGACAAAACACTCATGCACCTAAGATTAAATTTCAAAAACAAAAAACTAATAATGATGAAAAACAGAGATATATTTTTTCTTAGTCGGTGTTCTATTGCTATAAAGAGACACTATGACTAAGGCAACTGTTATGAAATAATTTAATGGGGCTGACTTACAGCTTCAGAGGTTTAGTTCACTGTCATGTCAGGAAGCATGGCAGCACACAGGCAGACATGATGCTGGAAAAGTAGCTGAGAGTTCTACTTCTAGATCCAAAGGTAGCATAAGAGAAGGGCATGGCTTGGGCTTTTGAAACCTCAAAGCCTACCCCCTGTGACACACTTCCTCCAACAAGGCCACACCTCCTAATCCTTTCAAATAGTGCCACTCCCTAAGCATTCAAATATATGAGCCTATGGAGGCCATTCTTATTTAAGCCACCACAATATTCAGTGTGGCCCATACCAAGAAGAGGAATAAATAAAAGGGTCCAGTGACCTCCAAGTCTGAACTGAGGTTTTAGTTTAAACAGAAGGCAAGAGGTTTGTTTAACCAAGCAGTCCTGGTCAGGGTGTGGTTTGATCCACCACTGTCTCTGATGCAGTCTATCCTGCAAGGTGGTCTGAAAGCTGTGAAACTTCTTCCTGGAAGGCAGGTGCCTCCTCTTGGTTTCAGTCCTTTTCTTTTCTCTGCATGAGATTCCTGAGGAAATTTTAATTCTTTAGGGTCCATTGTGTCAATAGCCCATGGAAGGGGAACAACTATCTCTCTTTAGAGTATCTCCTTTCCTGCCAGGAGAGCTATTATAAAAAGATTCAAAACCAGGCTATTCACTCCTCTCTATCTCCTTCTTTTTCTCCCACAGACAAAGCATGATGAATTCAGGTGGTAGCTTGGTTAGTGTTAAGACCATTTGGTCCAATTGGAGGATTCAAGGCCTTACGCACTGTATCTGAATGCTCTGTGTCACAGCCCAGTACCCTACTGAATCTGAGTCTGGCCTGAAACTCAGCATGTTTACTGAGCTGGCCTTGTCTCAAGTCTTTCCCAACTCCCATGCTGTGACAGTGTGCACCATCATGCTCACTGACATGGGAAAGACTAAAGAGGGAGCAGGAGTGAGGGGTTCCTTTATACAGTTAAGGGGAGTTGCTTGCCCTTATCTCTTGTGCCTTTTATACGGAGTCTGCAGAGGTAGGTAGACATCTGATGGTCTTGTTAAGTAGTAAATTTTACATCCCTAGTTATCTTCCTTGAGACTGAACACTGGGGATAAATAAGGCCACGGGTCACTAGGCATTAAGCTCTAGATGTTTCTATAAAGGCATTACAAGACATGAGCAGGCTCCAAGTAGTTAGGTAGGGTTTACTGGTATGGCAATTTTGTTTTTACTTTGGAAATTTGTCTATACATTCTGCCTGTTTATTTATTAGGTTTTATTTTGTGTGCATGTGAGAAGAGGGGTGGGGAAAGTGTACATGTGTGAAGGTCACAGAACAACTTTTTGAGAATTAGTTCTCTCCTACCTTTTAAAAAAATTTATGTGTGTGCCTGTGTGAATTTATGTGCTTGTGCATGGAGGTGACTACAGAGACCAGAGAACACTGTCTCTTCCTGGAGCTGGAATTACAAAATATATGAACCCCTGGTGTGGGTGCTGGAAACCATACATGGCCTTTGACATTTTTATAACCAATTCACAGAAGAGGAATTTTTTATTTTGTTTTGATTTTTTGAGACATGGTTTTTCTGTGTAGGCCTGGCTTCCCTGGGCTCACTTTGTAGACCAGGCTGGCCTCAAACCCACAGAGATCAGCCTACCTCTATCTCCTGAATGCTGGGACTAAAGGCATGTGCCACCACTGCCTGGCTCAGGAGAGTAATTTTAAAGAGGCATTTGTGTTTTCAGACTATGAACTCCAAAGAATCAAACTTCCCCCAAGAATCTCCTGCAAAGGGAAGAGAAGGGTTGAAGTCTGGAGCCACAGTCCACACAGCTCTGCCAATTTGCCAGACTACCTTCCACACAGGACACTTAGAGCAAGACAGTAATGGGTTGATGATGCACGGGACATACCTTGACCAAGACTGCTTTGTTATATACACTTCTTGCTCTCTAAACTTAAAAAAATGTTAAGTACGTGTGTGAGTCATGCCTTCAGGGGCCAAAGGTGCTGGATCCCTCTGGAGGTAGAGTAATCGGCAGTTGTGAGTTGGGAACCAAATTGGGCCCCTCTGGAAGAACAGCATGCCCTCTCACTGCTGAACCATCTTGCCTTCCTTTTCTACTTAAATTTAAACCCCATATCCAATATTCTGAAAATGGAATTAGAGGGCTACTGAACCCCTTTTTGTATCCTCTTCCAGTGTGACTACATTGGATAATCTCATCTTTACTTTTCACTATTACTTATCTCCTTAATTGGTGTACTTCGGATGGGTGGCTGAGCCTAGATTGCTTATCAGGCCTGCTCAGGCCCAGGCTGAACAACCTCAAAATTTTGGTAATTTGTTTCTTGTTTTGTTTTTGTTGTTTGTTTCTGTTTTTCAAGATAGTTTCTTTGTATAGTCCTGGCTGTCCTAGAACTAGCTCTGTAGAGCAGGCTGCTGGCTTTGAACTCATAGAGATCTACCTGCCTCTGCCAACTGAGTGCTGGTATTAAAAACTTGGCTTTTAAAATCACTGCTTGGCTTGGTAAAAATTTATTTATATGAAAAAAAAATGAAAAGGAGTATTTTTAAATAAATTTATTTAATTTTATTTTATGTGCATTAGTGTGAAGGTGTCAGATCCCTTGGAATTGGGGTTAACAGACAGCTGTGAGCTGCCATGTGGGTGACAGGAATTGAACCTGGGTCCTTTAGAACAGACAGTGCTCTTAACCACTGAGCCATCTCTCCAGGCCCCAAGTATTTTCTGATATATGCAAATAATAAAAAAACCTAAAAGTTCAGTGTATTTTTTAGTTTTACCATAGCTGTTTTTATGCAGGTACTGTAGCATCTTTGGCTTCATTCTTGCTCCAGTGTCACAGTCCAGTAGTCCTCAGTATCAGTATTTGCTACCTGGCCTTTTCAGTATGTTAGCCCTGTGCTTATACACTCTGTGTGTTTCACACAGCTATGAGATGTGGACTGATTTGGTTAATAGTCAGTTCTTTGTCCTTTCCTGTATTCATGTTCTCTTCTGGTACTGAGGATCAAACCCAGGGCCTTGTACATGCTGTACTCATGCTCTAGCGGTGAGCTACATACACTCCCAGCCCTTTCCAAACCTTCTTCCTTGAAACTTTGTACTTTTTCCTACTTTGACCTTGTTTTAGGTCACAAGCCCAGTGGGAAGGAAACAGAGGACTGACGTATGAATGCAAAGGAACACACTTCTAGGCCAGCATGATGCACAGAGACCTGGAGTAGTCATCTGACAGATGAATCCTAAGACCCATAGCCCAGGAAACTGCTATTCCTCCTGAGGTCATCCTAGATTAACCAAGTTAAAGGTCCAAGATTATCATGGCTGACCACAGACAGACTTGAGGAGGCCCAGAAATCACCCTTACCAGCCCAGATCAGCTAAGCCCACCACGTGCTAGCCACGTGATTCATGCTACTGAGTTTGGTAATTGTTTGTTATGTGTTACTGTAGCAACAGAGAGTAGCACATGAATTCTGAGACTTTCTTTACCAAACAAGCTCTGAAGTGTTGTGTTTTGTTGTTTGTTTTTTCTCCTGAGGGCAATTTCAGTTATTAGTAAACATAGAATCTGAAGGAAACACAGAAATCAGGAACTTCAGGGTTAGGGTAGGCATCAGATCACCTTTGGAAATTCTTTGAATTCTTGAATTTCCAAAGAAGTACCAAAAGTTTTGTTTCATTTGAGATAGTCTTCATATGATAGTCCAGGCTGGCCTAGAATTCACTATGTAGCCCTCTTGCTGAGTCCTCCCCAAGTGTGAGCCACCCACTCAGCACTTTGACTCAAAATGGGCACAGTGTGTATCCAGTTTATAGCTCAATTTGGCCCATGGGCCAAAGAGATCCTGAGGTTCTCTGACTTGGTATACCTCTTCACCATGAAGACACCTGGACAGACAGACAGACTCTGCCATTCACGAAAAAAGAATTCAATTTATTTCCTTTTAGAACTATAAAAAAGTATGCTGGATATAAAATCTAAATGGCTAAGGTGACTGACTGACTGCAGTAGGACGTGCCTGTCACTGTCTACATCTAGTCACTCAACTCTGCTATCAGCAGAACAGGGGTTGGGCTGGGAGGCTGCTGCTTAAAAGGCTCAACTATAAGCTTCGAAGAGCAGGAGTTCAGAGCTGCAGAATCCTCAGGAAGGAGGAAGGGAAAGAAAGTGAGTGGTACAGAGCAGCAAGAGAAGGAAGTGGGTGGACTGAGGTAGGAGGCAAGACTGCACTTTGTACCACAGTCTGGGGAAAACACTTTAATTTGCAATACGGAAGGCCTTCTTTCTTTTTGAGACAGGACAAAAAGCCCACTGTAGGCTATCCTAGAACTCATTAGGTAGGCCTAGGGTGGCCTTAAACTCACAGCAATTCTCCTGCCTCCATTTCCAACCATGCCTGGTTGGAAATGTCTTCCTTCTTGAATGCTGAGCACAGCTGGCCTAAGCATGTCCTAGGAAGTCCAACTGTTTCCTGGCGCCAAGGGCTCCTCCTCCTTGGAGAGTAGCCCAGGCGGCTTCTACCAGGAAGGAAAGGCATTCATCAATGTGACATGACATGGTCATCTTCGGACTTGCATGAACTCCTTGCGCAGCCATACTGAATCCTGGTAAAAGCGGGGATCACCCAGTCTCACAGCTGTCCGTTTGTAGAAATAGCAATACAGTACTGCGGCTGAGGACAAAAGCAGAGAGCAGCCTCAGGGACCGTCCTCAGTGTTCCCTTCAGGGGAAAACCAAGCCCAGCCAGCCCAGCACTGCCCCAGGGGTTCTTGCTGTCTCCCAGAAAGAGCAGAGGCAGCCCTTCCTCTTTCCTTTGAGTGGCTGACCCAATCATCCCAGTCCGTCCTGTTGGAGCTGGAAAGCCAGGATCAAGGCTATGCTGCCAGAGACACAGCAGGATGTGAGTGCACCTAAAGCCGTACTATCCTCACCTAGTCTCTGGAATACAAACAGTGTTTGAAGTCCATCTGTCCAAATGAAGCTGCTGGAATTTTTCCATCTCAAGTTCTAAAGAGACATGAGTAGAAAGGGAACAGTTAACAGCTACGTGAGGCTATTATATCTCCAACTTGCTTAGCTGCAGCAAAGCCACTTGGTTGATAATCATACTAACCTCCTTTGTTTTCAAAAGCTCCGAGTGTATTTCTCAAGGGAGCTTCAAACTCCTCCTTTAAAAAAATTTTTTTTAAATGGGGCTGGAAAGATAGCTGAGTGGTTAAGAGCGCTGACCTACGTTCAGTTCTTAGCACCTATATGATGTCTCACAACCTCCTATAACTAGTCCCTGGGGATCCAATGCTCTCTACTGGCATCTGTGGACACTAGGCATATGCATAATGCCCATATGCAGGCCAGCACTTGTACACATAAAATAAGTAGAATTTTTAATTGGGCATGGCATACCTTTTAATCACAGCACCCAGGAGACAGAAACAGGCAGATTTCTGTAAGTCTGAAGCTAGCATGGCCTATATGAGTTCCAGGCCAGCCAGGAAACTGTCTCAAAACACAACACAACACAACACAACACAAAACAAAACAAAACAAAACATTTTTTGTTTTGTTTTGTTTTGTTTTTCAAGACAGGGTTTCTCTGTGGAGCCTTGGTTATGCTGGACTCACTTTGTAGACAGGCTGGCCTCAAGACCTCTCTGAATGATGGGATTAAAGGTATGCACCACCATACCTGGCCAAAAAAATTTTTTTTAATTAAAAAAAATTGTGTGTGTGTACCATACCCTGCATGCACAGATAGAGGAGAACTTAGAGGAGCCAATTCTCTCCTTCCATCAGGTGGTCCAGGGATCAAACTCAGGTTGTCAAGCTTGGCAAGAAGTTCCTTTACCTGCTTAGACATCTTGGCAGCTCTCAGGCATCTCCTGCCCCTTTTGATTTTTTGTCTCAAAGGAATCTCCTTTAAGCCTGAACTGAGGTATTTTTTTGTCAAGGAGAAATGACCTCAGAAGTTTCTCTGCTCGCTGTCTAGCCCTCAGGGTGCCTTTAGGCTCAGGGCTTAATCACATCACCAGCCTGATATGGACTCCAGGAAGTAGAGCCCAGAGTCTGATAGAGGATGCTCCCTTGACCCTTGTACATTGCCCCACTGCTATCCTGTGAGTCCTGCTTCTTCTGTGGCACTCGGACACCCAGACAGTGGGTCCAATGAAAAGCAAAACAGTAACTAGAGACCAAGGTTCTGCTTTGTTTTGATGTGGTGCTGAGAACAAAGGCCAGGGCCTCCCAAATTCTAGGCAAGAGCTCTACCCATGAGCCATACTCAGAGTCATGAATTTTAATGACTTTCATCAAAATATGCATATAGGGGACACATGAACTATCCAAAGAGATGGAAGAAATCATAAAACAGATGTGAAACAAATAAGGGCCTGCAAGGCCTTCCCAGAACTCATATAAATGTAAAAATGGAAGGAGAGTGTAGTTAGAGAGATAGCTCAACAGTTAAGAGCATTTGCAGCAGACAGTCTGATGAGACCTGATAGGTTAGGGCCAGATAGAAAGGGAGGAGGACCTCCCCTATCAGTGGACTGGGGAAGGGCTATGGGAAGAGAGGAGAGAGGGAGGGCGGGATTGGGAGGCGATAAGGGAGGGGGCTACAGCTGGGATACAAAGTGAATTAAATTGTAATAAATAAAAAAAATTAAAGAAAAGTATTTGCAGCTCTTTTAGAAAACCAGAATTCAGTTTCTAGCACTCATATTGGGTATCTCACACCCCCTGTAATTCCAGCTATAGATCTAAGTCCTTTTTCTAGAGTACCTAACAAACTCAGGTGCACATCCATGCACACACACTCATTCACATATGCACTCACATATATTTTCAAATAGTATTCTTTCTTTCTTTCTTTTTTTTTTTTTTTTTTTTTTTTTTGGCTTTTCAAGACAGGGTTTCTCTATGTAATATCCCTGGCTTTGCTGGACTTGATTTGTAGATCAGGCTGCCCTTGAACTCATAGAGATCCATTTACCTTTTCCTCCTGAGTACTGGGATTAAAGGTTGCACCATATATATATATATATATATATATATATATATATGAATTACCATTATTTTTCTGGTGTTTTGCTTTTGCTTTTTGTTGATGTGTTGTGTTTTGTTTCGTGTTGTGTCAAGGCTTTATACACTAGAATATAATCAGATCAACAGCCTGACAAAGCATCCAGCTTACATATATATATATATATTTTTTTCTTTTTTAAGATTTATGTATTTTATGTATTTGAGTGCTCTATATGCATGTTCACCTGCATACCAGAAGAGGGCATCAGATCATATTACAGATGATTTGTGAGCCACCATGTGGTTGCTAGGAATTGAACTCAGGAACTCTGGAAGGGCAAATAGACAGTAGTCTTAACCACTGAGCCAGTTCTCCAGACCCTCAAATTATATTCTTTTTTTTTTTAAGATATATTTATTATTTATACAACATTCTGCCCGCACACCAGATCTTACTATAGATGGTTATGAGCCACCACGTGGTTGCTAGGAATTGAACTCAGGACCTTTGGAAGAACAGTGAGTGTTCTTAACCTCTGAGCCATCTCTCCAGCGCCTCAAATTATATTCTTAAAAAAGTAATCTGAAGTCATAAGAACTGGATCTGACCTGGGGCTTATAGGAAAACTAAAGAGAAACATCTGGGGACTGAGTTTCTGGTGTAAAGATAGAGACTCCACACTGGTCATAAAAGAAAACAACACTCTTGCATGGCTGCTTCCCTGAAACACCCAATGCCTGTAATATTAACCATGGGACACTAACACCTAAATATACCCTCTGTCAACACCACCTACCCACATAACTGATGGTGAAACCATCCCGACTTCCTGCTTTAATTCTGGTAGGCCTATTTGGGGCAAAGGTTACTGTTACAAATAGACAAGTCCCTGGATTCTTGAACACAGAGAGCTGGGTAAAAGTGTCTTATGAACTGTCACATGCCTATACTCCGGCCCAGGACACCTTCATTTTACCTACTTTCTACATGTCACATGCATGTCAAAGAATGACAGGGTTTCCAGAGGCTAGAAACTCGTAGTTGGATTTTCTTTGGACAGGACAGGGTTTGATCAAACCCGGGGCACGGAGCCTGCCAAGTAAATGTCCTGTCACTGAGCTGTATTCCCTAGCCCTTGCCATTATTTTTCTGGTGTTTTGCTTTTGCTTTTTGTTGTTGTTGTGTTGTGTTTTGTTTCATTTTGTGTCAAGGCTTTATACACTAGAATGTAATCAGATCAACAGCCTGACTACAAAGCAGCCAGCTTACACAGGCCCCAGATCACATGTGATTCATGGCTTCTGACCTCTGCTTCCCTATTCTGCCATCTCTTTGTGTATTTCATGTGTTTTCATATGCTTCTTAAACATAAAACAAAAGATTTATTTATTTACTTATTTATCGGCACAGGGTCTAACACTATGTAGTCCTAGCTGGCCTGGAACTATCTTTGTAGATCAGGCTGGTCTCTAACTCACAGAGATCTTCCTGGCTCTGCCTCCCAAGTACTGGGATTACAGATGGGTACCACCCATGTCTGGCAATTGGTTTACTTTATGTGTATGTCTGAGTGCCTTTGTATGTAATGGGTACCACATATGTACCAGCACCAGTAGAGGACAGAAGAGTTGAATCCCTTGGAATTACAAAGGGTGTGAGCCACCAGATGTGGGTGTGAGGAGCCAAATCCAAGTCCTCTGTAAGAGCAGCATGTGCTCCTAACATCTGAACTGTCATGTGCTCATTGTGGACTCAAAGTTCTGAGTTGGAGGAGTGGCTCAGCATGGCTTGCTTTTGAAGTTATATGTAGCCGAGAATGAACTTGTCACGGCCCGCAGAGAACTAAGCCTACAGGTATATGTTGCTATGTTATACTTTATTTCCCACCTCGAGATAGGTCTTACACTATATTCCAGGCTGGCCTAGAACTTATCTGTGTAGATCCAGGATGGCCTTGAATTTGTGGTAATCCTCCTGCTTTCGGGTGCTAGAATTACATGTGTTAGCCACCATGTCCAGTTACTTCTAGCTCTTTAAAAGTGTGAAAGGGACAGTGAGATAATTCAGTGGTTGGGAGCATTTGCTACCAGGCCTGATGATTACAGTTCAATCCCCAGAACCTACATGGTGGAAGAATAGACTTCCACAAATTATCCTTTCATATACAGCTCTATCCACCTACACATAGATACAACACGACAGCGATATAAAATTTTTAAAAATTAAATATGTAGGAGTTCAGAGCTTTAACTCTTACCATGAACCAGACATGAAGGGAGATGCTGAGGGCAAGGTACACAGATGTCAGAATGATGGTCCCTTTGAACTTATGAAATAGAAGGTTGACCAGGCCAGCCTGGAAGACGAAAGTGTTGAAGAACATGAGGAAAATTATGATGATGTTGAAGAGGATTGCAATATCCTGGATTCTGTAGACAAAGAAAACAAGGTATAGCCAATGGGGGCTATGTGAGGACAGCCCTAAAGAGATAGTCCTAAGTCTTGATGATATAGTCACCCCAAATACCCAGGCAACACAGACTTCTGGACACACTAATAACTTTAAAATATACAACTACCACTGTCAGGCCCTTCAAACTCTTTGGATTCAGCTTTTCAGGCCTGTCTCTTACACTCACATGAAGAGCACTAGCTGGATGACAGGAGCCATTCGGAGTAGCTCAGAGAAGGAATTGACAAACAGGTCATAGGACAGCAGCAGGAACTGTAGGGAAAGCACCAAGCTGTAGTTACTGGTCTGGAGCATCTTCTCTCTGCTTTTGGGGACTTCCAAGTGCACATTCCACAGTTCTGTAGGAAATGACTTCTGGTTCTCTGCCCAGTACTTGGTGAGAGATGTCTATTTTTTCCAAATCAGAGATGTTTCCCTGACTCTAATGCAAGGACCTGCTTGGAGGGGAGAGATGCAAGAAAGGAAGGATAAGGAAGGCAATATTGAAAGTCTAGCAATAAACATTCACTGAGCATCAGCAAAATACCATTCTAGGTGACTAGGATATATGAATGAAAAACAATTATAAGAACAAAAACCCAGCTAAAGCCATGTGTAGTGGCACACACTTGTAACCACAATATTCAAGAGCCTGAAACAGGAGGATTGAGAGTCTGAAGCCAGTCTGGGTTATGATAGCCAAGACTCTTCTCCAAACAAAACAAAACAAAACAAAACAAAACCCATCCAAACTCTGCTCCTGAACTTGTCATGCTTTCTTGAGACTAAAAACATCAGCTTTTTCTCTGCACCATGATCCTTCTAAATGCACAGCTCTTTTCTTCTTTCTTTCCTTCCTTCGTGTTTTTTTTTAAACCAGATATTGCTACCTAGCTGAAATTTTTTAAATTTATTTTTATTTCATGTACATTGGTGTTTTCCTTGCATATATGTCTGTGTGAGAGAATCAGATCCTCTGGAGCAGGAGTTACAGACAGTTGTAAGCTGCCATGTGGGTGCTGGGAATTGAAACCCAGGTGAGCCATATCTCTAGCTCCCTGGTCTTGAATTCTTAATCCTCTTGCTTCAGCTTCTTGAGTGCCTGTTTTACAGGAATGCAGCACCACACCTGACAAATGGACAAGTCTAACCAAGAATATTTAGGGGTACTACAGAGAAGTGACAGCCTGGTCACATGGAAGTAGTAATAGTTGTCGGAATAAAGCCTTATATGTTACATGCAACACTCTGAGAACTGTTCCAATCACAGACATTATTTAAATCTTACAATAACCTCATGGAGAAGGTAATAAACTCTTATTTTTCCCCAATTCATAAAGGAGAAAACTAAGGCCCAGCAAGGTGAACTAGTTTGACCAAGACTGCACAGCTGATAAATGGCAGAGTGGTATTCTGATGGAGCACTATACGACTAGCCTACTTCATAACTGATGGAGAGCTATCTAAGTAGGTGGGGGATATGTCCTCATAGAAATGGGCAGTGTCACAGACAGAAAGAGCTGAGAGGACGCAGTACTCTCTCCGAAAAAGAGCTTTATAAGGTGATGACAGAAACAGCAGCATCATGTAAGGGGTGCATATTTATAACTTTACTTAATCCCTGGACTTGAAAAGCAGCCATTTTAATGCATGTTAAGACCTATTTTGCAGAGGTTCTGAGAGGTCTAGGCCCCGTCTACCACCCATGGTAGAAATGCTGCATGTTTTTGGATGTATGAATCATGTAGTTTCTCCGACAGTGAGTTTTCACACTCATAATCTCTTTCCTAGGTACCAGCACCAAGATAATCTTGTTAACCAAGAGAATTTTCTTTAATCCTCATAACAATCTACATGGTAGGAAAGAATTACGCTCTGGCTACAGGCAAGGACACACAGAGTCATTCCCTCAAGATCACAAGTGAGTAGAGCCAAAGGCACCACTTTGCAAGGCTACATCGAGGGCCACTGTGAGCATCCGATAGAAAAGACCCTTGCTCTAGCTTCGCGGACAATAACCCTCCAATTTAACGCAGTTTTCCTCACCCTTCCCAAGGCTCCGGAATGCCTCGGCAAAAAGTTCACAGCAAGAGCAACAGCAACATAAAAGACTTCCAGCCATCTATGCTGGGCTCATCATCTACACTCACCTCAAAGAACCAACGTCGGTTGTCATGGGGACACCGTCTCGGCTTCCGGAAGCCTACTTTTAATTCCGGAAGCAGATGGCTTTGTGCCCGCCACGGTTGGGCCTTCCCTCTCCTAGGCGCCCTGTGACCCGTTCTCCCAGCTTGCCTCGCTGACAGCCAACCGTAGGCGAGAGGCTGGTAACTCCAGCATTTCGCCTTCCTCGGGTTGGGGGTTGGGGCTAGAGACAAGACCGACTGGACGCATCACTCCTAGGAATTGGGCCAAGAAATCGCCCCATAGCTCGTAAACCTCATTTCCCAGACGCCCTAGCTCACCACCGGAAGTGCTCTGAGCCTATAAAAGCCCAGGTAGCAGCGCCCTCTGTAGCGGGTCCTGCGTGCAGTCTCTACAGGTTTGCCAGAAAGTCAATTCTTCAAAGTCTAAGAGGAACCTGGGGAGTGGCAGCTCCTGCGCTTGAGGCAGGTCGCAGGACCTGCCCCCAAGGTGTCCCACTGTGTGGTTAGGGGTGAGGAAGAGCCCGGGCTGGGAGAGCCGGGACATGGGTTCCAGTGGTGGTTCCGCTCCTTCCTTCCTTTCCGCTGTCATAACCCGGCGTTCGGCTTGTTTTTTTCTTTTAAGAATTGGACACTTTGCCGTTCCCCTTCCACACTGCAGGTGGTGTTTGTAGAGGCTTCGATGCTTTTCAAAAGGCGTTTTATCGAAAGACTTGCCAGGACCAACTTGATCAAAGCCGTGTTCCTGGAATAGATCCGACTGTCCCGAAGGACCAACGACCGGTCTGTGAGCACTTATACTAAGGTGGACTTTCTTCACATTCCTAAGTGGGATATTCTATGTCGCTCACTCCTGAGTCCTGCCGTTTGGAGGGGCTGCCTTTGGAAATGAGTTCTGGGAACTGAGGACAGGACCTGGGTGCCTGTACCAGGCTTGCCATTTGTCTTGACCAAGTCACTTTCCTTTGGATCCCAATATTGCAGTACTTTTGAATTGTAAGATACGGGCTTATAGGATTTGCACTCTAACTCTGGTCCCCAGAATTTTTTACTCTCCCCTCTGTCTTTGAGGAGGGAGCCACAAACTGCCCCTTGGTCTGTTCGCAGCTTCTAAAAATAACTGCATTTGGAGTACAACCTTTTCCTGAGAGATAAAGACTGAATGGAAGGTTTATTTCCTATCCCTGGGACTGATTCTGATTTAGCTCAGCCTATGAGAATTTTTTACCCAGAGAATAGAGGAAAACAAATAGAGGTTAAATCAGGATGGATAAAGTACTACACCCCATAGGCCACATCTAACCCTGAGTGATTTTTACACAGTTAAACTATTGGGGTGGGGTGGGGCTGTATTCTATGACGTGTGAAAATCATATGAAACGTAGACATCAGTGTCCATAAAGTGTTAATGAGGCACAATCATGTTCATTTGTTAAGATACTCCTCCTGGCTGCTCTCTTGTGTTACATCATCCCAGAATGAATGCAGTTGTGACAGAGACTATAAGCCCTAAAAAGCCTAAAGAGTTTCCTTCCTGAGCATGGAGCTCGCAGAGTGAGGACGAGAGACCCCGCTGTGGTTAGCATGTCTTGATGTCTTAGTCCAAACTGCTGTCTTAGTGCAAGTGAGAGTGGAGTGTCAGCATTTGCATTTGTTCTTTCCCTTGCATTTGCTATTTTAGGAAAAGAGAGGGCTTATTTGTGAACTGTAGGCAGCCATGTAACTAACTTTCCTGCCTTCTGTCGCCAAAGTGCCCCAACCATCTGTTCTAAGTCTGCCACAAAGTGCTAATCTGGGACTTGTAAAGGGGTGTGTATGTGTGTGTAATATAGTCTCTTTGGGGTGTTCTGTCTTTCCTTTTTCTTTTTTCCTCGGATACTTCTGTGTGTGTGTGTGTGTGGTGACTATCACATGTGTGTAGGTGCCAATGGAGTCTAGAAGTAATTATTTGGTCCCTTGGGGCTGAAGTTATAGGCAACTGTGAGCTGTCTAGTCTGGGTCCTGGGAACTTACCTCTGGTGTATTGCAAGACCAATATGCATCTTAACTGCCTTCTTTTTATATGGCACCCCCTGCCTTTTTTTAAATTTAGCCTAGGCTAGCCGCAAATATATACATGTAGGTGAGGATGACCTTGAACTTCTGAGTCTTCTGCTTTTTACCTCTGGTATGCTAGAATTTTAGGCTTGTACAATGACTCCCAATTTTACCTTTCAATATAGAAGATATCTGGAGTTTATTGCAAGGTGAAGTGGGGGCATGCTCAAGGAATGAAGTAGACAGTGTTCAGAAAGAACATTGTATAGAACACATTCTCAAGGGGTGAGAGTGAACAATGGACAAAGGGACTGCTCTCTTATTATCAGATGACTGGGGCATCTCATTGGAGGAGTGGAGGTTGTGTTAGGCAGATACGTGATAACCCCAAAACCTCTTTTGCTCTTTTGTGAATTAAGGAAGCAGCTCTGAGGCTGGGTAACAAATCTCTGGACCTAGTAGCTTGGTCGAGAGTTTTTTGTTGTTGTTGTTGTTGCTGTTTGTTTTTTCCTCCTAGCCCTCTGCTGCCCTTTCTCAAAGATTGCTACTAACTTGAATTCCTTCTTTGTGCAAGCTCAGCATCTGCTGCTGTTTGGATGGAAAGCTGGCATGGCATGAGATGTAATCAAGGCTACTGAGAGGCCTGGCCAGGCATGGGAACCATGAGCTTCAGGTTTTTGTTTGTCGGGGGAGCTGGTCTCACAATGTTGCTCAGGCTAGTGTTGAACTCCTGTACTCAAATGATTCTCCTGATCCAGCTTCTCAAGTAGCGAGTGGCATAGGTACCACCTTGCCTATCTAGCTTTAGGTTTTGTTAGTGGTTAGGGTAAAATCCTGTGATAGGGGCTACAGAGATAGCTCAGTGGGCAAGAATGCTTGCTGCTCTTCCACAGGCTTCCAGCACCCAAGTTGGGAGGTTAACAGTTGACTGTAACTCTGGCTCCAGGGAACCCAACACCCTTCTCTAGCTTCTGTGGATGCCTGCACACACAGCACATGGCATACCTTCATACACACACATGCACACACACACATACACACACACTTGAGTTCACTCTCTCAAGTCCTAGGATAGTAATAACTGAAGTTATAATACTTGACTATCAATAAAGTCCCTGCATTTTTTTGGTCTTGATCTTATAACCTGTGGCTAAGGGAAAAGATCTAAGACTTTGACACTAAATAGACAAGGGTTTGAAACTCCTGTGGACTTTCTGGGTTTTTGATGCTGGTTACTGTGTGTCTGAGATTTAGTTTCCTCATGTATAGGATTGGGGTGATAGTCCTCATAGACCGTGTTTCAGTTTCTAGTGCTCATAGCTGGTGTTCTGTTAATAATTTTGTTGCCACGTTTTTCTTTCAGAGAACAAGTCTTGCAATGTTAAGTGTTTTCCTCGGGATGCCCAGACTGTGAAAATCAAGGTCAGGACACCCTGCTGTGAGCTGTCTGCTGAATCTAAACATAAGGATTTATATAGTGTTCCTTCTTGGGAATTATTGGCTATTCTTCCTATTAGATGGTTCACAGAGATAGTCACTAATATCAGGAAATCATATTCTTACCTTCTTGGTGTGGACCCAGGAAGCAGACGGGGTCATATGGTCATATGGCCGTGTGGTGGTGCATATGTTTACTGGAAGCAGGACAGGCCCTGTGTTTTTGCCCTTTTGATGCCTGGCTCTGTGTGTGTGTGTGTCACTGGGAATCTAACTCATGACTGCCCCTATCACTGAGCTACAAATATAGCCCCTTTCCTGTTTTTAAGAATAACTGTCTGTGACATAAATATTCACCATAGAATGCCAGAAAGCCGAGTTGGTTCCTGGTGGAAACTTAAAAATAATCACTTTCTAGACCATGAGTTCTTACTTCCTCTTTTCTCCTCTGTACTTTCCCTAGAGAACAGAAAACAGAAGTAAGTCCCAGGTGTAGAAACAGCCAAGGGATGCCCTCTGTTCAAGGAGAGGAATGGTGGGTTCTGGCCTTGAGGTCTGGCCCCATGGAGTTCATCCTCTACAACAAAGGCCTTTTTAGATAGAAATAGAGCACATAGAGCTTTTTCACAGGGGACATATACTAGGGGGCTGAGCATCCCCACACAAAAGTCCACAAGATTCTGAAACTTAAAACTTGGGGTTTTGGTTTTGGTTTTTCTTTTCTTTCTTTCTTTTTTTTTTTTTTTTAAGATTTATTTATTTTATACACAGTGTTCTGTCTGCATGTACACCTGCACACCAGAGAGGGCATCAGATCTCATAGATGGTTGTGAGCCATCATGTGGTGGTTGGGAATTGAACTCAAGACCTCTGGAAGGACAGTCAGAGCCATCTCTCTAGCCCCTTGTTTAGTTTTTCAAGAGAAGGTTTCTCTGTGTAGTCCTGGCTGTCCTGGAACTTACTCTGTAAACAAGGCTGGACTTGAACTCAGAGATCTGCCTGCCTCTGTTTTGTTTTTTTATTAAGCCAGTTTGAAATAGGGTCTAATTGTAACCCTGGCTATCCTGGAACTTGCTTGGTAGACCATCTGGTCTCAAGCTCACAGAGAGATCCTCCTGTCTTTGCCTTCTGATTGCTCTGATTAAAGGCATGTGACACTATGCCTAGCCAGACCTAAAACCTTTTGGTCACCAAAATGGTTGTTCAAAACATACAATATACAAACATTCTCAAGTCTAAAACCCTTTTTCATCTACAACTCTTCCATACCAGATCATATGGAGGCAGTGGCTCTTGCCTTTAATTCCAGCACTTGGGAAGCAGAGGCAGACGGATCTCTGAGTTCAAGACCAGCCTGATCTACAGAGAAAATTAGATGGCCAGGGTGACACAGAGAAACCATGTCTCCAAAAACAAAACAAAACACAAAATTACAAAATGAATAAAGTGTAATTAATAAAAAATTTAAAAAAAAACCACAAAATTAGATAGGTAGGTAGGTAGATAGATAGATAGATAGATAGATAGATAGATAGATAGATAGATAGATAGTTTGCCATCATATGTTAGTCTGCATGTCTGATGTCCATGGATACTAGAGGAAGGCATTGGGTCTCCTAAAACTGGAGTTACAGGTGGTTGGGATCTACCATATAGGTGTTGGGAATTGAACCTGGGTCCTCTATAAGAGCAACCAGTGGTCATGTGGTGGTGCATGCCTTTATTCCAGCACTTGGGAGGCAGAGGCAGGGGCAGGCAGATCTCTGAGTTCAAGGCCAGCCTGGTCTATAGAATGAGTTCCAGGACAGCCAGGGCTACACAGGGGAAAAAAGAGCAACCAGTGATCTTCACTGCTGAGCTGTTTCTGCAGCCCCTGCACCCAGTCATTTTGTCCGAGATGTACCCAGCCTAGAATGTGTTTACACCATTAGATTGTAGGTTTCCTGCCTCATGTTGGAACCCAGGGAATTTGTGGTCTAGGCAGGTTAGGGTTTTAATATTTGTCCCTTTACTGGGTTGGATGTGGCAGTCATTTTTCATCTGCTTCTGTGTGGGCAGGCTAATCAGTACCAAGGCTGTGAGCCCAGGGCCTTGTCATCTCATTAGAGCACTATACTTAGTCTGTGCTCTGCCAGGTGCAGGGGTGGGGTCTCACTCATTGTCAGCTTACCTCAACATTGAGGCCACTGGGGACAGGGGAACTGAAGCAAAAAGTTCCATACCACAAGCAGAAAGAGAGGTCAGTGTTACTTCCTTTAGCTACTGTGTGGGCTCACCACAGTCAGCCAGGACATGTGACCTCTGTTTCTTCTAGGAGTTCTTGATCAGAATGGCTTCAGGAAGGTTTTACCTGTCCTGCATGGTCCTGGGGTCCTTGGGATCAATGTGCATCCTCTTCACCATCTACTGGATGCAGTACTGGCGTGGCGGCTTTGCTTGGGATGGCAGTGTGCACATGTTCAACTGGCACCCGGTACTTATGATTTCTGGCATGGTGGTGCTCTATGGCGCTGGTGAGTAGTAAGTTCACAGTGTGGGAGGCATGATTAGGCCTGGGCAGGGCAGCACTTACCCTCACCGAGGATTATCTTTTGGGAGGTTGAATTTAAGGCTACCATGATAGGGTGAATTGGGTTGTCCCTAGGACCAGCTATCATTTAGGGGGAAGAAGTGGAAAGCATGGGGACAGCTTTCCAGATACTCAGAGACAGGGGCAGCAAAACTTTCTGCAAAGGACCAGACCATAATTTTTTTTCAAGCTCTATAATGGTATAATTGTAATATGTATTTTAGCTACTCAGATATGCCATTATATCATGGGAGCAGTACATAAAACACACGAGTGTAACTGTGTCTCAGTATAATTTTATTAAAGAACTAGGCAGCAGGCTAGATTTGGCCTGGCACTATAGTTTGGCTTCTGCTCTAGAGAACAAGAAATTGAAGCCTCTTGTATTACAGTTGGTTTGAGGATCCATCTTTGCCCATGCATTCAAATCTGTGTGAACCCCATTTTCCCAGTTGTAGAATGAGAGTGATGATAGTGATGGCAAAAGCTGTTTACCATGTATACTTCACACCTCGTCCTCTCTGGCTCTTGCCTTTTTTTAATGATGCATATGATATATGAATGTGCATGTACATTTGTGTATGTGTGTGAAGGCTACAGGACAAGCTTGGTGTCATCTATTATTAAGCACCTTGTACCTTTAAATTTTTTTTTTTTTTTCAAAAATTTCAAGATAGGGTCCTCCTATGTAGTTCTGGCTATCCTTGAACTCAGTATGTAGACCATGTTGGCCTTGAACTCACCGAGATCCACCTGCCTCTGTGCCCCTCTGCACTATGCCCTGCCATAAATTTGTTTCTATATTGTTTATTATTGGTGTGGTAGTGGTGTCTGTCTGTGTGGATGTGGGCACAGCATGCTATGACATGCATCTGGAAGTCAGGACAACTTTTAGGAGTTGGTTCTTTCTTTTCACTGTGGGTTCTAGAGAGCAAATTGATGTCACCAGGCTTATGTGGCAAGTACTTTTACCTGCTGATCTATCTTGAGAGCCCCATTTTGTTTCTTGAGATAGGGTCTCTTTACTGGCCTGGGGTTGGTCTAGGGATCCTATCTCTGCTTTCCTAGGTCTAGGATTACAAGTGTGTGCTATCCTGACCAGGCTTTTTATGTGGGTTCTGGGGATTGAACTTGGGTCCTTATGCTCACACAACAAGCACTCTAAACACTGAGCCATCCCTCATGTCAATAGCCCCCCTCCCTTTCTTCTTTTTGAGACAGGGTCTTTCTACATAGCCCAGCCTGGCTTTGACCAGCATAGCATCCTTCTGTCTCAGCCTTCTGAGTGTGTAGGTATGTACTACCATGCTTGCTTTCGATTTTGTTAGAACCAGTTTGTGAGGTAGGATCTGTTGTCACCCCCATTTTACAGAAAGAAGGCGGCAAACGGTTAACCAGATACTAGGTTTGAACCCCTGTTGCCTGAGCTCTTTCGATTTCTACTTTGAGCTTTTGGTGGTGGCAGGAGTGGAGCTGACGCCAGGGCTCAGCACATGACAGGAGGAGACTGTGCTATACCCTCTGCTCTCATGCCTGGGTTTTTAACCAGCCTTGGCTGTGTGGAGTCCACGGAGAGGCAGTCCTCATCAGCCCACAAAGCTGCATTCACAATCAAGACAGGGTGGTCCAGGAAATGCTCCTCCCATTTTAACTGGCCCTTCTTGCGTTAGTTCCTGGCCAACTGCCTCCCAAAAATAAGAGGAGGTAGTAGGTGCTGAGCAGTCTTAGCTAGGGTTCCTATTGCTGTAATAAAGCAGCATGACCAAAAGCAACATGGGGAGAAAAGAATCTGTTTCACCTTATACTTTTAGTCTAGCACTTTTAATCTTCTTGAAAGAGACGTCAAGGCGGGAGTTGAAGCAGAAGCTGGAGAGGAGGGGGGCTTACTGGGTTTATTCAGCCTGCTTTCTTTCTTTTTAAAAAATCTTTTTAATCTTTGTTTTTATGTGTGTGGTTGTTTTGCCTGCTTGTATGTCTGTAGACTACTTGTATCAAGTGTCTTTGGAGGCCAGAAGAGGGTGTCGATCCCCCTGGGACTGGAGTTACAGATGGCTGTGAGCCATCATATGGGTGCTGGGGATTGGACTCAGGTCTCTGGAAGAGCAATGTTGTTAACCACTGAGCCATCTCTCCAGCCCTTCTTTCTTATACCATCTAGGACCACCAGCCCATGGATGATATTACCTCCAGTGAGCTTGGTCCTCCCATATCAATCATTAATCAAGAAAATGCCCTAAAGACTTGCCTGTAGGCAGTCTGATGAGGGGAGAATTTCTCAACTGAGATTTCCTCTCCTCAGATAACTAGCTTGTGTCAAGTTGACAAGGAATCAACCAGGACAGGAATTGATATCCTGGCACTTAGTTCTTCCTGTTGAGAGGCTGTATCGGGTCACATGAGGGGAGTGGAAGACTATGTGGCCGGGCCGTGGATTGTTAGGCCGTGGTTTGTTCTCTCTGCAGCCTCCCTGGTGTACCGCTTGCCCTCCTCATGGGTGGGGCCCAAGCTGCCCTGGAAAATCCTCCATGCAGCACTGCACCTGCTGGTCTTCACCTTCACTGTGGTGGGACTGGTTGCCGTCTTTCAGTTTCACAACCATTCAAAAATCACACACCTCTACTCCTTGCATAGCTGGCTGGGCATCACCACCGTCATCCTCTTCGCCTGCCAGGTAGGTACCCTCTGCCTTTTCCTTCTGAGTTCATGTAGGCACTGTGGGCATGGGTATGGTTTCACTAGCCTCAGCTCCAAGTATTTTCTCTACCCTTTGTCTGGAAAGAGCACCATATCCTGTAGACTTGGCTGTTTAAGTGGCTGTGAGAGTTGGGGTTTCTGCACTTACCTTGTTTCTTCTACCTGTCACACTGCTCTTCTGTCCTCCTGACTTTGTCATCTCATCTGTTGTGCTGACTCCAGCACAGCCTTTTTTCTACTTTTTCCACTCTTCCCTCTTTGAAACAAAAGCAGTTCTAGATGTGATTTCAGTATTCTAGTTCCTGTCCTGTTCTTTAATTATTTATGGGTCAGGACTGCAGGAAACCAAGGCTAAAGAGGATGGCTAGGTTTTCTGAGTGTATTGCTCCAAGCCTTTCACACACTGGTTGCTTGTGTAATAGAAATGGGGAGACCACAGTAAGGCGTGGTGTGTGGTCATGGCTGTGCATTGTGGGAATGTTTGAATTGAAAAAGAAGGGCCAAAGGACAGTAGCCAGCAGGAGGCACTGTGTGGTGGGGGTAGGGTGGCTACAGATGGGCACAACTGTGGTCACCCTGTAGCTCCAGGGCCTTCTTTCCTGTGTCCACAGTGGTTCCTGGGCTTTGCCGTCTTTCTTCTGCCGTGGGCATCCCAGTGGCTTCGAAGTCTCTTGAAGCCTGTGCACGTCTTCTTTGGAGCCTGCATCCTTTCCCTGTCCATCACATCTGTTATTTCCGGCATAAATGAGAAGGTTTTCTTTGTTTTGTAAGTTCTAAGGGGTCTCTAACACCAAAGCTTATGGGAGGGGCTAGGGGCTTCAGGAGATGTATCCTATAATCACAGGACTCAGCCAGCAGAGGCGAGCCTCTGGGCTTGAGTCCTTTCTTAATCTGGAAGATGACAGAATTAGCTGTCTTTAGGTTGAAATGGGTAAACTGGCAATGCTGAGCACCAAGTGATACAGCACCTCCATTGGTCAGAAACTGCTCAAAGTACCTCACCCTTAATCCTCCTCGGCACCCCACACCATTTGGTGTTGTTGACACAAGAGAGTGTAATGAGCTAGGCATGGTGGTGCATGCCTTTAATCCTATCACCACAGGCAGGCAGATCTCTGTGAGTTCAAGGCCAGCTTGAACTACATAGTGAGTTCCAAGCCTGGCAGGCCTACATAATGAGACCTTGTTAAAGAAAAAAATGTATGGTGAGGCACAGAGAAACTTATCTAAAAACACAGAGCCAGTGAACAGCACAAGTGGGAACTGAGTTAGGCTTTCTGTGTACCCACTGTTGTCCTGAGTCTTGAGACAGTGTGGTAGAGTAAACAGCAAATAAGAGTGAAAATGAGCCCTGGGGTTTAGATCTCGGTTGTGCTATGTACTAGTTATGTAAATGTGGGCAGGTTCATTTCGCTAGGATTTTCATTTTTCTCAAGGGTAAAGCATTACACAGTTCCTGCCTGTTGTTATGGTAGGGACTTAGAAAGTGTGTTAATTTTAGGTCATAAGAATGTAGTCTCGGGGTTGGGGATTTAGCTCAATGGTAGAGCGCTTGCAATGCCCTGGGTTCGGTCCCCAGATCTGGAAAAAACAAGCAAAACAAAACAAAACAAAACCAAAAAAAAAAAAAAAAAAAAGAGTTAGAAAATTCTCTTCAAGGCCCATATCATTTTGTCATTTCCAGGAAAAATGCCACCAAGCCCTACTCCAGCCTGCCTAGTGAGGCTGTCTTTGCCAACAGCACTGGGCTCTTGGTGGTGATTTTTGGCGTGCTGGTTCTCTATGTTCTTCTGGCTTCCTCATGGAAACGTCCAGATCCAGAAGCTCTGACTGATAGACAGGTATGGATTCTTGTCTCCCATTCTAGGTGGGGTAAGGCTGGGTCTAGAAAAGGACCCAGGAAGGACTTTGCTGAGAAGACTGACCCTGTAGCCAGGTGGGAAGCCAAGCAGCTTGAAGGCAGAGACCGAATGGCTGATGGGGACTTCCAGCATCAGAGCAGCCAAACCCAGGTCCCCACTCCCCTGTAAGATCTCTTGGCTTTGTGAGATGACACATGGAGGGGCTCGAGCCTGGTAAGGTTCTGCCAGCTCAGTGGCTAGACTGGTGGGACAAGTGCTTCATGACACATCAGGTGCCTAAAGCAGGCCCTGCCTGTTCTTGGCCCACTAAGGGACCTGGCGGGTGTGGGAAAATGTGCTATGGACCAGTCTCAGGAACTTTTGGGCTTCCTTGAAAGATCTGGTGGCTGGACTGGATTTACCTGCAGGTTGAGGGTCTATATGAGCATCTCAGGCCTGCTGTGCCTCCTAAAGCTCAGGGGCTCTTTCCAAGTCATGTCTTTAACCCCTATGCATCTTCCTTCTTTCCAGCCCCTGTTGCATGACAGGGAGTGAAGCGGGCAGGGGCTCCTGGGAACCATCGGCGATGTGGTCTCTGCTCCCTCAGAAGCTCTGCTGTACTTGGGCTCCTGGTTGTTTTCAGCAACAGACTTCTCTTGGGCCAGAGTCCAAACTTGCTACTCCAGTTCTAGGCATGCTCTCTCCAGCCACTTGCTGTCCATCTGCTTTCCTTGATGGCTTTGACTTGTTGGCATTTTTCTGGTCCTCCATTTGCACAAGGGCTTCCTTGCCTTGGTCTGCTGGTCTGTAGAATTGGGGCTGTTTTCTCCTCACCACTCCTAGGGATGTGGTAGAAGCCAAAGCTGAGGCTCAAATGTAGCCTACACATACAAGATATAAAGTCTGCTCTCTGTGGGAGCATCTGTCTCATTAGGCAGGCTTCCTCTGCCTCTGTTCTGTCCTGGGTATGTGTTTGGGTGGGCAGCAGCATTGGGAGGTAACTAATGGGACAGCGGCAGCAGGACAAGCACTTGCTGTAACGTCAGGTGCCAGTTACTCTGCTCACTTTGATGCACTGTGCTGTGTTATTGTGACCATGTGGCTCCCCTTCTTCTAGTTGCTGCTTCAGTTGCTGCCTGGATCCTGCCCTTTCCCTGTGACTTACATGCCTGTCCCCCTCAGGTAGCCCTACCAACCCTAGCAAACTGTTCTCCTAAGAACAAACAGCCTGCCCCTAGAGTTCCAAGTGATGAGTGACAGAGGTTTCTGTGTCCTTCCTTTCTGTCTCCTTGTGGGTATGGGCTTTCCTGCCTCCTCTAGTTATGCTTTCCCCTGACAGGGCCCTGGCCTACTATGAAATTAAAATCAGCATTATGAAAGCAATTTACTGGGCAGAGTCCTGGGAACCCCTGCTGCCTTCAGAGGTGTTCCTTATTAGTACTGGGTGCTTCTGTTCCCCAAAAGGCCACCCATATTCCCTCTATGATATGCCAGAGTGTGAACTTTACTCTTCTCCTGAATAGAAACTGATTAGAGAGGGAGGAGTCTGGCTCGCTCCTTTGTGTTGGCCTGTGGCACTTCATGCCTTCTTCAGATAAGCCCTGCCAGGTCCCCTTAGCAGGCAGGAGTTGGGTTCCTGCACTCCCTGCAGATAGTGATCAGGCTGAACTTCAGTTCCGCTGCCAGAAATTGGAAGGAGGGCTGGCCCATTCTGACTGAAGCCTGAACACCATTGGGATGACTACTGGGCACCTTGGACATGACCAGCTCCCCTGGCTCACTCACGAGTGGGTATTTTACTTCATGAATCTGATCTTTATTAAATGTTTTTAAACATTAAATGTGTTTTCTTTTGTTCGACTGTTTTTAAAGAATGTTTTATAACAAAAACACTTATTTCTCATATTTTGGAGACTAGATGTCCAAGGCAACAACATGTGTCTGGTGAGGGCCACTTCCCCTATCATCTTTGTACTGTGGCATCACATGATGCTCCTAGACCCTTATAAATGATGAATGCATCCCATTCAGAAGGGTCTGGTCCCACCCTCACCCCTGATCACTTATAAAGGCCCTACATATTTTTTGTTGTTACTTTTGGGACAGAGTCTCACTATGGAGCCCTTGCTGACCAGGAACTTGCTATGTAGACCAGGCTGTCCTCGAACTCACAGAGATCCACCTGCATCTTAGTACATTCCAGAGTACTAAGACTAGAGGTGTGAGCCACCAGACTGGGCTCAAGGCCTTACCTTTTATTCCCATCACATTAGGGATAAAGTTTCATGCTTAGGAGTTCTGTTGGAACACAGAAGCCTTCTTTGCTGACAGGACATTGTGGTTTAAATGAGTTTCAGCAATTTACAAAGGCCTCAGGACAGGCTTGACCCTTACAGAAGCAGAGAAGGCCAACCAGAAATCCATAATTGTGTTCCTGGAATTGTATGCTACTTAAATCTGCGTTTGTCCTTCATAATGAATGGTTTTAGGATGTTGGGGGATGGTTTTGTGCACTATGTTAGGAAAAGGAGTGTTCCCTGCCTTAAAGTCTAGAAAACAAGACTCAAAAAGGAGTGGAGGGGGCCAGGCAATTAGAGTGACCTGATGTCACTCTGCTGGGTGATGGCAGAGTTGGGATCCACAAGTCAGTGTTTGATACCAGCCTTTTCCCCAGCTGTGCACATGCGTCTGTACATGCTGATACCCAGCCTTGTTGCCAACACCTTCTGATGGAGTAGATTAACAGGGGGCTCTAGGTCTAGAAGCCAAGGATCTCAATGCCTAATCTGAGTAACATAGATGATGGGGTCACTTTCTTAGTATGACCAGCTGTAGATGGTGACACAGCAGGAGGAGAGTGTGCCTGACACCAATGCTAACCCTGTTCTGGTGACAGCACTAGAACACTAGGCTGCTCAGCGTCCTCTCTGCAGCTGAGTCTTCACATCCCTGAGATGATTACCATTCTGAAAAAAAAAAAAATCTTACTTTGTGTAGGCACACTCATGGCTACGACACATGTGCAGACAAGAAGACAACTTTATCTCCAGCCGTCTAATGGGATCTGGTGATCAAATTCAAATTCAAGTTGTTAGGTGTTCGGGTTACTATCCACTGAACCATCTTGCTGGCTTAAAACAGAACCAGACTTCATATCATGGATATGACTTGCTAGTGCCTTGAATCACCTCTCTATACTGAAGTCATGCCTGGTGTAAGCTGTATGTATGGTGTCTCCCAGACACCAGTCATCTGCCTCTCGGTCAGGGAGTAGGTAGTGATTGCTCTCGAGACCTTGGGGCTGCTATGACTGTTGTGTATGAGCTGTACCAGAGCGTCAATACACGAGTCCATTTCTTCTGGAGACCCAATGCCTGTGTAATTTCTGAAGAATCTCAGTTGTTGATCTGGTACTTAGAAAAGCCTTTTTTGCCACTCTGCTATATACTGGCATGCTGTGTGCTAGGGCAGGGCAGGGCAGGGGAGCCCCCGGGGTGATGAACTGCCTGCCAAGAGATGGCTCATGGTCACCATAACCAGGAATAAATTCCCAAAGATGAGGTGGAAGTTTATGGCTTTAATGGGTTTTATTAGCTTTTTTTTCACACATTGACTAGGTAAAGGTGGCCTTCCAGAGGAAGAGGCCTGGAGTCTTGAAACCAAAATGATATACACAGTTAGAGTCTGTGTTGTACCCAGGAAGAACCTTATCATGGACATCCAGAGCTGGCTGCAGTGGGGTGGATATGACCTGAGGGACTCGTCTTCCTGAGGAGGGAAAGAACGGTGCTGGTGGGGCATGTGACTAACCCAGGCAGGCACTATCTTCATGGAACAGTACTGGAGGTGTGGCGGACGATGTCCTGCTCCACACAGAGGATGGGCACTAGTTTGAGTGAGGGACAGGTGAGCATCTGAAGGTGAGAGGAAGGAACACATAGGGAAAGTCGCTGAGAAGGAAAAAGGCAGTCATTCTCCCTGTGTCTGCAAGACCTCCAGGATGGCACGGAAGATGGCGGCAATTGCCACTGCTCCAGGGTCTGGTTGATCCAGTCGTGCCGAGCTGATATAACTAGCTCTTCCAGCACCAGCTTCCATGTTCTTGGTGGCTATGGCTGCAGCTTCAGCACTCTAGGAAAGTGTGGTAGGAGGCTTCAGAACATGACACTCAGTCTTTCCTTTCCCACTGGGCCCTGAAATCTGAGCCTAGACCCTTTGTTCCATTTTGCCATAATCTCTGTACCATCACCAAGTGGAAAGGTCACCTCTCATCTGCTTCTAGCAAGGAAAGGGGCCCATGTTTGCTGTTCCTAAGCCCAGGTACTAGGCTAGGCTCAATATATCTTCCTAGCCACATTAGCACTTTCTGAGCTAGGTACTCACCCCTATAGGTGAAAATGAAGATGAAAATAGGCCATTAACTTGCTTAAGGCCACCTAGAGATTGGAACTTGGTAGCTCCTTGATTGTCCAGCTGAGCCTCACTCACCTCAGCTGCTTTAGTCAGGACTGGAAGGAAACTGGCCCCTGTACTCTTCCAGGCTTGGAGCTCCTGTTTTACTGCCCACAGAGAATCCACCTGGACAAGGTCAGAGATGGGGATTGAGAAGAAGCTCTCCTACTTACGGTAGCTTTAGGGCTTGTGGACTCTAAAGGATCAGGGGGTGGCTATACCCTGAGTACATACCATTGTCCTGTCTCCTGGTGCAGCCTTTCCATACCTGACAGAATGAGCAAGGTGGTTACATTAGTTGTTAGGACAGGGCATGGCTGGGAGCAGGTAACATCTATCAATCACCTCTCCAGCACACCCCTGGTGTAAAGACATGGGGCCCTGGCTCACTTCATCATGGCATCTAGGCCGGCATCCATGGCAGCAGACCAGGATGGGAGGTCAGTCTTGGTCTTGAGGGGCTGGGCAGCTGCAGTCAGGAACAAGCCATAGAGCTGGGGAGGACCAGAATGCTGAGTACATAGAGCTGGCCTGTACCCAACCAAGCCTGCATCCCTCTCCATCAGTCCGTCCCTCCAGGGCCTGTTGCTACTCACCGCCCCAGATGAGCCTCCCATCCTCTCCAGCAGCAGGACAGACAGTTTGGAGAGTACCTGGGCAGGGCTGTCTAGAGCTGGGTCTTCCTTTAGCCAGCTCTGGATGGCTGCAGGTATAGACACAGGTAGCCCTTCAGAGGCACTGTCCACTTCATTTTCTCTCCCTGGTCTCTGCTAGTGTTTTCCTGATTAGTCTTATTTACTGAGGGATGTGCTCTCTGTGTGCTTGGGTTTGTTTGTTTGTTTTGTTTTTTCCCTTTCTTCTCTCTCCCAGAACCCTAAGTCAGTCTGGAAATTCTCATAAGCCACCATTGCCTGGTTTCATTTACTTCTGTAACCATAGAGAGAGGAGAGCTGCTTGCTTGAGTTAGGTACTGAATACATCTTCCTTCCTTCCTTTTTCTCTTTCTTTCTTTCTTTTCTTTCTGTCTTTCCTCCCTCCCTTCCTCCCTCCCTCCCTCCCTCCCTCCCTCCTTCCTCTCTCTCTCTCTCTCTCTCTCTCTCAGCTTTTTAAGACAGGATTTCTCTTTGTAGCCCTGGTTGTCCTGGAACTCACTCTGTAGACCAGGCTAGCCTTGAACTCAAGAGACCTGCTTGCCTTTACCTCCTGAGTGCTGGGATTAAGGCTGCGTGCCACTACCACTGAGCTGAATGCATTTTTCTTAAACAGCTAGACAACCAAAACTTTCTGGTGGTGTGTGCAATGGAGAGTGCTAAGGGCAGCAGGATGGGGTTTCCTTCCGCAATCACTCCCATTAGTAGTGTGAGAAACTCTTTCTTTTGGGAAAACAGGGTGAGGGGTGTGCCAAGGTGTGCATATGGCTTCACTTGGTGAAGGGAGGCAAGAACACCATGAAAGCTCCTAAATGTTCTGGAAATTGTTTCATGGAATGTCCAAATCTAAGAGCTAGTGTGCTCCTGAGCATCCCAAAGAGGCCAACCTTTGGCAGCACGGCTATGGGTAGTGCCACAATCTCCATCTCCAGCAGCCCTGTCCAAGGCATTCAGGTGCTTCTCCAGACCAGTCAGGGTGGTGCATACCCGCTCCAGCACAAGCATCATCTGCTTTGATGCTACACCTAGAAAGGGAGGACAGAATGCAGAGGCCCAGTCAGACCTTCTCACAGCCAAACTTGACCAGTGTAGGAGGCATAAGTGTCAAGATTCCCCTCCACCACACACACGCCAAAGTCTTGAACACCAAGGATGCTTGCCCCTCCTCATCAGGGCTCAGTACCTCCTACTGCAGTAGCTTCAGGGGCTACTGGAGTCTCTCTGGGAGCTGTCCGGATCCGCTTCCGCCTAGTCACAGGGACCTTGGCCAGGTGAGGCCAGGCTGTTGCAGTAGTTTCAGCATCTAGAGGTAGCCACATAACTTTTTCAGATAAGATCAGGTGGGGGTGGGGCCTGGACTCCCCTCCTGGCCACAAAGACTGGTTCCCTAAGCTGTCTGCAAGAAGGGAGTCCAAACCAATAAGGATATATAATGAGTGTGTACTGCATATTGGGGCAGAGGCATGCCCTGGGGAGAGAGTAAGGCAGATGTGAGGAAGACACTAACACTGACTTTTCAGAATTAGGTGAAAGCTGAAGGCCAAAAAAATCAGAAAAGGCCTCTTCATAGGGCTACAGCCCAGAGTGTCACCATCAGCCCTATGTGGTCCCTATGATAGAACCTGTGGATGGATGCTGATTCCTTCTAGCAATGCCTCAAGGATCCAGGGCTCACCTATCAGCTTCAGCACGGGTTCGTCCACAAGCATCAAGGTAAGAGAAACACCAGGCATCTCTAGTGCTGACATGAAGGTCCCCACCAGGGCACGGGCAACCTGCACCCCACGGTCCTCTGCAATGCCAAGCACAGAGGCCTGTGAGCATGGAAGGGCACTACTCAGAGCATCATATAACAAAACCAAACAAAGTAAAACAAGGACCTAAAAGGTTGAGGCCTTTGATGAGTAGTGAAATGGCCTGATTTCCTCAGAGCATCCCTCAGTAACAGCCCATTACCACATTCCTGGATGTATCCCTTCTTGAGGATACAGCTGATGAGTAACAGAACTTGTTTACTGAGTTCTTAGTAGGCACCAGGAATCTTATGATATGATATATAATCTCATTTACTTCTCATAACTACACTATAAAGGCAGGTATTGCTATGATTATTTCCAGACTCAGGACCCCAGCAGCTAAGTGACAAAACTGACAGTTTAGCTCAAGCTTGTGTGACTGATGTTCTGGGCTATGATAGGACACTTCCTCAGCTGCTTTTCTTATGCCCAGATTCAAACCAGGTTCAAAGGGGAGCTAGTCATGGAGACAGAGGCAGGAGGATTTCTCTGAGTTCAAGACCAATCTGGTCTTCATAGTAAATTCAGGCTAGCCAGCACTATGAAACAATGACACATTGTTTCAAAAAACCAAATAAACAAAGGGCTAAGGGTCCTCCTGTAGTTGCTCACCCAGCAAGCGTATGGTAGCTTCAGCTATGATGCCCAGTTCTAAGAAAGACAGGCCACCCAGATTGTTGACTATCAGTATCACTGAAGAACCTGTTGATAGATGTGATACCCTCAGTGAGACTTTTGGTGGTTTTTGTGCAAAGGGGCAGGAAGGTCTTGGAGACTGGGACAACAGGATACTCACCTGACTCTACAGGTACATAGGATACATTGGAGGTGTTTGTCATGTGGTCAAGCATGAGAGTGACAATCTGATCAACAGGTGCCCTCTGTCAGAAGAAGCATAGGTGAGCTGCGCTGCCTGGGAGGCCTTGGGGCTGGCTGGGCTGAGCAGGGAGGCTATTTACCTTTATCCGACGAACACCAGCTTCCCCGTGGATTCCTGTACAGACATGGTCATTACTGGCAGGCCCAGGGCCCGCTACTTCTCATGCTTTTATCAATTACACATAAAGTGTTCAGCTATCTTGAACTAGGCTAGGCACAATGGGTATGGACATTTGGTAAAAACAAAAACAAAAACAGGGCAGCAGATGGTGTGGCAGTAGAGCTACCTGGGAAGTCACAGAGGCCTAGGACACTAATGCCTATTGTTAAGACACACACAGGGAAAAGGTGAACTTGTCAGTCCTTAGGACCAAAAGGGCTATACATTGGGGTTGGAGCAGGAGCATATGGAATGATGTGGGTAAAAGTGAGGTAGGAGGAACACGGTGCTCTATGGGCAAAATGGCAAAGTGGATAAAGTCAGGTAGGTTGGTCTAGGCTGTGCCTCAAGTGTACACGTATGAATCCGGAGACCACCTGTGCGACATCAAATAAACAGGGAGGACCAGGTACACAACTCCAGGACCTTAGAGGTGGGCAAAACTCAAGGCAAAGAACAGGAATGGCAGGGGCATGGTGGCCATGGGCTTACCCAGGCCTAGTTCCAGTTCATCATCTGCAAGCTCAAAGGTGGGTTTGGAGCCAGGGACACTGCAGGAAGACAAGCTCACCCCCAGGGTACCTGGAAAAAAATGAATCATAAAAGAGATGGAGGTTCTGCTGCTGGCAGCAGGTGCCAGGATGGCATCAATACCATGGCCATAGGCATCCTCTTTCTAAGTAGGCTGCCCAACTCTTCATCTTAGTGAGGAAGAGAGTCTAAACTCTGGTACTCAAGGCTGTTAGGCTCCAGGGCCTCCCAGGAGACCTTCACCCAACCCCTGGGAATAACATGGAAAAAAAGCTCCTGGTGTAGCTGGCAGGAGCCTGCTCTAAGTCCCCGGGTCTGCCACAATCCTCCCATCCCAGTGGCTGGCACTCACCCATGGCCTTGGCAATCTTGTTCACTCGCTTTGCAATTTCCTCCAGCCCCACACCTTCCTCAGCCAGAGCGCCTGCCACCTGTAACCACCCAGAGAGAGAGAGAGAGAGAGAGACAGAGACAGAGACAGAGACAGAGACAGAGAGACAGGGAGGGGGTAGAGAAGTCGCTGGATCAATGGTTGCCAAACAGAGAATGGGAAGAATGTCCTTGTTGGGAGGGAGAATCTCAGGATTTCTACAATAAACCTGGTCTATCACATTTAGAGTAGAAGAATGTCCTCTCCTTATTCACAGCATACCTGCTGAGAGTCTTCAAGAGTTTTGTGTTTGGAGATGGGAGTGTGGATCCATAGTAGAAGGCTTGTCTAGCATGCATCAAGCCCATTCCCAGCAAAACACATACAAAATATAGTCATTCATATTCTGTCTGTCTGTCTGTCTCTCTGTTTCTCTCTCTCTTCCTCTCCCTCCCAGTCTTGTGGAGCTGGAACAGACTTCAAAGAGAGAAAAAGGGGCCTAGAGAGGGAGGCTATGTGTTCAGTGTCACACAGCCCATTGCTGATCAATTTCCTGATTCTTAGACCTTTCTCCCATAGCATACAATGTAGCTATTTGCTACTGAGCTGGAAAGGAAGAAGGATGGCTGAATCACAGTCCTGCTTTCAATGAACCTGGAGTCTGAAGAAGAGAAGCAGAGACACACTGAAAATGACTGCAGGGTGGCACATGGGTGAGGAGTTTCTTGGTGGCTTAGGGTGCTGAGAAGATCAGGCAGGGTACCGCATGCAGCACCACCTACAGAATGTCAGGAGTGATCCAGGCCACAGACGACTGGTCAAGGAAAGGATTTTTGCATGGCAGAGATGTGGCAGATGTAAAGCCACAGAGATGAGCTCCAGCCCAGCAGGTACAGGGAGGGACCCAGTGTTTACAGTGCATAAGGGAAAGGGAGGAATGCTGGGCAGTAGAACCAGGAGTTAATGAGGGGGGACAGGAGTGTGGTGGTGGAGTGGCTGGAGAGGCAGCTCAGTGGTTAAAAGCACTCTGTGCTCTTGCAGAGGATCCAGGTTTGGTTCCTAGCACCTACATGGCAGCTCACAGCTTTCTGTAATTCCAGTTCCAGGGGATCTAACACCCTCTTCAGGCTTCCCCTGGAACTGGAGTTACAGACCATGGTGATCTACCATGTAAGTGATGGGAATTGAATCCAGCTTCTCTGCAAAAGCAGCCAGTGTGCTTAACTACTTAACCATCTTTCCACCCCTCAAATAAATAAAGAGTGTGATGTGCACCCCCAACCAAGAGGCTTGAGCTGACTGTGGGAACACAAGGGGTTCTCTGAGAGATGAAAATTGGGCATATATACCTTTTCTCTTATTTTGACACAGTTATCCAAGCTAGCCTCAAATTCAAAACCCTCCAGTCTCAGCCTTATGTAATTTAAAAAAGACACCTCTGGGGGCAGTGTGGACAACTGACTGACAAGGCAGGAGTGCAAGAAGCAAACAGGAGCGCAGCGAGTGCAGTAGCATCCAAGGTGAAGGTAGTTAGGGAAGGATATGAAGAGGAGTGCGCTGCACTGGAAGGAGTGCTAGGAGGGTGACTGACCATGTGTGGAGAATGCCTGTATTCTGGACTTAATGGCTGAGGTAATGGTGGGGACTGGTGAGTCAGGGCAAAGAAATGGCTGGTATTCCGGGGAGGGGAGGCTAACCTTGTGGATAAGAATTGTGCCACACAGGCCACGCCGGCCTGCCTTTTTCAGGACAGTGAAGGCGCTGTCATCCCCAATTACCACCATCTCCACAGGGATGCCCTCGGCCTTGGCCTGCTCCATGGCAAATCCAAAGTTGAGCCGATCCCCAGTGTAGTTCTTCACAATGAGGAGGATGCCCGCTGTAGGAGCAGTAACATTGTGTCATTAGGCCTTAACCTCACCCACCCACAAAGTGCCCACGCACAGCATTCTCTCCCACCTGCAAGCCTGACCTGTGCCTGCCTGGTCCACAGCTCTAATGGCTGCAAGGATGCTGCCCACAGCTGGAGAGGCAAACACGGATCCTGCGATGACTCCTGTCAGCATTCCCTTCCCGATAAAGCCTGGAGATGGAGAGAAGTAAAGATGCTGGGTAGAATCTAGGCCTGTTCTCCCTGGGGCTTCTCACACACCTGAGCTCCATGTTTGGGTAAGCCCTACTGTGTGCTTGTGCTATGGTTCATCCCCTCCACAGACATCATCTTAGAGGTACTTCCCCTGATCTCCCACCCTGAAGAACTCTATCTACTCCTACCATTTTCTGTTTTTTTTTTTTTTTTACATAAAGCTTTTGAAAAAACATGTTTTGAGTGTCTTACAAGTTATATATATATATATATATATATATATATAACTTGTAAGACACCATGTGTGTACCTAGTACCTGTGGAGGTCAGAAGAGGGTAGTGGGTCCCCTGAAACTGGAGTTACAGTTGGCTGAGAGCATCTATGTAGGTGCTGGGAACTGAACCCAGGTCTTCTTCAGCTTTTGAGTGCTGAGTCATCTTTCCTGCACCTCATTGTTTATTCTATTGCCTGCTATAACCCTCTGGCTCTCTGAACTGCTTATTCACATCTGTTTTCCCAGAGTGGGGAATTAAAATTCTGTAGGGGCAGGATCTCTCCTGATTCAGATGCATGCTCTGTATAGGGCTAGGTATACAGTAGGTTCTCTAATATGTGCCGAATGAATAAACACAATACTGAGGGTGGATAGGAAAGGTGCAAATGACACGAAGTCTGAGGCCTCTGTAGGGGCTCCTAATGAGGGCTCATGTCCCTGGCAAAAAACAGGAAACCAGCTAGGATAGTTCCAGTGTGGGAAAAGGCATGGTAGGAATACAGAAGAGGGGTCCTGATTTGTGCTTGCAGAGTCAGAAAAGTTTTTTGGAGGTGTTGGGTCAGCTGACCTGAAAAAAACAGGTCAGGAGGACTTTCGAAATTACCAACTCTTGAGGCTGGCAGAGCCTCCGAGGTTATCTCAAGCAACTCTGCATTTCTAGGGCTGTAAGAATCCAGGTGCAGAGACAGGCTGTGACTGGTTGTGGGGTAGCTGGAGGGCATGAGAGGATGGAGACTGGGCCCAGTCTTAATTCTGGCCTCAGCATTGTCTGTCTGTCAGAAAGCATTGAAGTTGTCCCAGGAGCCCTACTCTGCTCTGGCCAGCACCCCTCACAATCAACACAAGATACTCACCAGCATGGGCAGGCTCATGGCCCGAGCCCCCACCTGACAGAAGTGCCACCCGGCCCTTGAGGCTGTCCAGGTCAGAACGCAGGGCCACACGGTGCCCTTGCAGGAGCTGCAGGTCAGGGTTACAGGCCACAAACCCAGCAAGGGAATCATCAGCGCACCCTTCCACAGAATTCAGCAGCTTCTTGGAGGTCTGCGGAACAGGAGCAAGAAAGAAGAGGTTCCAAGTGTGGTCACCAGGCACCCCCATCCTGCTCAGACACATTATTGCATCAATTTTCCCAGGAATCTCATGCATGGAGAGGAACTACAGAAACCACCTAGGAATTCTAAGGACATAGTGCTGCCTCAAGTTGTGTCATTACCAAGAGGATGTGCCTGTGCCTTCTCAACTTTCAATTTTTCATTCAGTGCTTAACTTATAAGCCTTTTTGTTTCTATATATCCTGAAAAACAGGTTTGATGGAAAGCAAATGGGGGAGTTGGTGTCCTCACTAGAAAAAAAAAAAGAAAAAAGAAAAAGAAATTGGGGCTCAGTCTGTTTCTGTTTGAGGAGGTTGTAAGTTTTAGGCTGTGACAGGGAAGAGCCTGAGCCCCACAGCCACCTGACTGATGCTACAACTGAGCTGTCTGTGCTCCAGCTGGACCTCTCATGCAGGGAGGCAGGGCCCAGTACTAGGCCCTGTATGCTCACAGAGAGTAGAATGCTCTTCCTGCCCTCCGTGGAAACAGGATATCATTTTTATATGCTATATGAGAGAGACACTCACATGTGTATGGCAGCACATAATAGAAGGACCTCAGACTCCCAAACGGATCTGGGAAGCCTTTGTGAAGAACAAGCAGGAGATATGTAGGCACTGGGAAGTGGAGGGTGCTCTGGGCAGGAGGAAACATAAGCTATGATATGGAGGTGTGCAACAGCAGAGTAGTTCCAGGAAGCATCAGTGATCTAAGAAATATGGCTGGCAGGGAGAGCAAGGCAGGGGACTCACAAGCCACAGGGAGAATCTTGTTAAAAGGAATTATTAGGGGCAAAGCCTCAGCTCTGCGAGCCTAACAAACTAGACTCAGCTACATATACTCAATAGGTCAATTAAAGAAACAATAGTAAAAAGCAGAGAAAGAAGATTTATCTTTTTATTTATTTACAATAAATTATAATCTATTAGTTTATCAAATTATTTATTATTTACCAATTTATCAATGTATCCTCACTGGGAAGAGGAGCAAATAAAGAGGTGCAGGAACAACTGTGTGTCCAAGTCCATCTTCAGGGCACTTGATACAAGGTTAGGTTTAAATAGACAGCAAGAGGTACATATAATCTAGCAGTTCTAGCTGGGTGGGGTAGCATATGACTATGATCCCAGCAGTTGGGAGGTGGAGGCTCGAGGAGTTGAAGGTTAGCATCGGCTACATATAAAGTTTGAGGCTAGCCTGAGCTACAAGAGACCCATGTATCCCAAACAGACACATAAAAACTGAAACAAGCCAGGTGGTGGGGTGCATGTCTTTACTACCAGAACTCAAGAGGCAGAGGCAGGTGGATCCCCAGGCCAGCCTGGTCTGCAGACCAAGTTCCAGGACATCCAGGGCCACACAGAGAAAACCCCGCCTCAAAAAAAACCAAAACCAACCAACCAAAACAAAACAAATAAACAAACAAAAGCTGAAACAAATAAAAAGCCTAATCAGTCCTGGTTAAGGCATGGCTCTTGACCCATCTGTCTCTGCCTCCAGCATGAGATTCCTGGGGAAATTTCAATTCCTTGGGGTCGGGAGCATTAACAGTCTGATAGCTAACAGGAAGGGGTGCAAATGTCTCTCTTTAGAATGTCTTCATTCCTGCCAGGGTAGTGCACTATGAGCTATGGGCCTACTCAGGAGGGAGGTGTACAATGGCTGGCCAAAAATTATGGAAAATACCTCTGGGTTCAGCTGGGTCTTTACAGGGTGTGCAGAGGGGAGCTAAGTGGGGACCAGAGAAAGTGAGAGCTCAAGCAGTCAGTGGAACCTGATATCAAATACCACTCCTGCCTGTAATTAGCTATGAGAGAACTCAGAAAGAAAACATCTGTTGTGGGCTCAACTCTTCCTCTGGGAAACAGTGATTTACTAGAGTACAGCCTGTAACAGTTTCATGGAAAACGCTCACTAAAAAAAGAGCAGCCCCTTGCCTTTGTCCTCAGGAGGCAGGAAGAGTGAATCTCACAGTGGATCGGAGGGGATCCTAGCGCCACCTAGTGTTCTGCAGCTGACCCAGGTCCCGGCAAAGCACACTTCCTGCCTCTTTCCTGAGCCTGCTCAGTACCCATATGGGCCTTTATGGAAAATGCAGCACTGAGGTCTTGCAGTCCAGCTTTCCATCATTTAACAAGGGCCAAACCCACAACACCTGCTTAAGGATGAAGGGAGTAGCCCTCGTCAATAGGCAGCAAGCAAAATAAGATGAGCTCCGTTTCTTTTTTTTTTCTCTCTCTCTCTTTCTTTTTCTGAGACAGGGTTTCTTTGCGTAGTCTTGGCTGTTCTGGAGCTCATTCTGTAGACCAGGCTAATCCAGATATGCCTGCCTCTGCCTTCCAGATTGCTGGGATTACAGGCATGCACCACAATCGCCCAGCTGAGCTTCATTTCTCAAGCACTAAGAACCAGAGCTATTTCTATGAACTTATGAACATGACTAAATTTTCCCAATAATCCTTTGGAGGTAAGATTAACACAAAGAAAAAATGAAGCACAACATAGTGGGCCTCCCGTACTGCAGTGCTTTGCTCTGGGAGCAGCCCGCACACACCTGGCCTGAGGAACAAGGACCAGATTATTCCCCCTGGTCAAAGTCACACAGCCAGCCAGTGCCTAGGCCTACCTGGTTCATCCCAGCCACATGCTGTTTTCCCAAGTGGCTGAAACAGATATAGGGTGCCAGAGGTCTTGCTCTAAGAAGGGCACAGTGTGGGGAAAGGGGGATCTCATGATATACAGTGAACTTGTCTGTTGGTGTCAACTCCAAGCCCAGCCTCCTGCACCACCCTTCAAGAGATTCCTAACCATTCCTACAGTAGAGCCATTCCTGTGTCCACTAACCCAAGGGGAAGACAAAGCAGGAAAAGGGAGATACCAAGTGAGGTCACTAGGATTCTAGTCTGATCAACACTGCACAGCCATGTGGTGGCAGGTCTTAATCTGCCATATTTCAGACAGGGGTGGGGAAGAGGAGAGGCTCAGGGACGTCAAGCCTTCTTTGTAGTGGTGACACAGTGGTGGAGGTTAGGCTGAAATCTGAGTCCAGATCTGTTCAAGATCAGTTTTAAAGCAAAGCCTGGGGACACTGTGAGCCTTCCACATTGCTGTTCTCTGCTCTGGGAGCAGCCCACACATGCCTGGCCTGAGAAACAAAGATCGGATTCTTCCTGGTTCCCTCTTTGACTAGTGAAGTGACTTATTACACAGCAAGTAACTTGCTTTCTGACCTAAATGCATGACTGAGATCTTAGCCACAGGGGCTTCAGAGTGCCTCAGGTCAACCTCAGACCTGTTTTGGCTCAGTGCTGGGGCCACAGAAGAGGGAACAGGGGCCAGGCCTGGAGATACAAGGTAAAACTCTCCGTCTTCTGAACCCCAGGAGGCAGTAGCATCTCAGTTGGGGAATAGAGAGATCCCAGGTTCTCAGAAGGGGGATCCCCACAGGACTCACCATGGTGGGGAGGCTCTGAAACAAGTTGAGCTCACACGTCCGCTCCCAGCTGCCGCAGGGTGGACAGTCCTCTGAGTGCTACCAGGTCTGAAGGAGAGGAGGTGGCAGCACCTGCAGGGGTGGTAAGGACTTGAGCCACGGGCAGCCAAATGGTATAATCATGCCTCCAGAGCCTTAAGAATTAGGGAGCTGCCCCAGACTTTGATCCAAGTCCAAACTCTAGTACACGAGCTAGGGATGGAGAGCAGCGTGGGCCTGATCAAGGTTCACACCCACACCTGGCCAGAATGCAGATCAATTCACGTCCGGCAGAGCTGCCTCTCCGCCTGGGAGGCGTCCTAATCAAGAAGCAAAGTTACCCACAGAGTAACTTCTTATCTTACATGGATACCATTAATGGACAAAGTGTACAAGGATCTTCACCTTGCTGGCTGGTCACACTAGGAATGAGCCAGCTCTGTGACCCTATTTCACTTCTGGAATATAGACTGAGTTGTCCAAGATGGTACTGGTAAGAGTCGGGACTTGAGCTCATGTCTAATCTTGATACAAAGCTTACTGTTCCCACTAATCATCCAGTTCTCCAAAGTCAGGCAGAGTCCAAGGTGGGGAAATCTGAGGTATAAATCACTCTTCAGTTCCACCTGGTTCAGCAGCATTGTTGGCCCCAGCCCCACCCATTTCTACCTCAGTTTACTAGGGTGACTTTTAGTTAAAGTGATCCCTTTAGGCCTCGGCCTCATCTGTAAAATAGGGAGTTAGCTCCTCTCTGGCATTCTGCGGATGCTTCAGGCCTCAACTTCTGTTGTTCCTTGGCGCCTTGTAGGGGGTTAGGAGGTGGGGGCGTGGAGGCTGTCTGATGAAGCCTGGGGCCTGGAACTGCGGGACTGACTGCTCTGGCCAACAGCGTCTTTAAGGCTCTTGCTGTGAAATCCTAGCATTGTGTTTGCGTTCACAGTACGGGCAAGCGATTTAGGTAGGGAGCCCTTTTGTTTCTAAACAGTTAAAAGAGGTAAAGCATCAAGACCCCCAGGTGAGGTGTGAGGCACGGATGGTTGCTGTAAGGTCAGCTGAGGGCATTCGATGGATCTGGAGGAGCTGGAAGAGCTAAGCAAAGGAAAGGAGGATTCTAGTCTGGGATGTGCACGGATGGTTGTCACCTCTCTCCTCTTTCTAGTCCTCCGCAGCCCTTTCGGCTCCAAAAGGGGGTTAAACAGCTCCAAGGATTCCTGGGGCTATGGAGGAGGGAAGAAGGCAGAATCTGACGAGAGAAAGGGGCGTGAATCGGGGTAGAAGAGCCCGGAGGCGGCCTCTGAGGGATATTCGTGGTCGAACAACCGTCCAGAACCACTAGCGGAAACCGTTCCGGTTAGCGTACCCGAACTCTCGCTCTCATCCGGGTACTGCGGCCTCTGGCGGTAAAGAAAGGGCGGGGCCTCAGGGGCGGAGCCTCGTTTGGTTGGCCGCCTCGGGCTCCGTAAGTCCTCCAAGAGGCCAGGTGAGGCCGTCCCGTGGTCCTCTGCGCCTGGCCTCTCTGGCCTGCAACGTGTCTCAGGGGCGGAGGCAGTAGCCACGGAGTTGGCTGTGTTGAGAGTCGGTGTTCGCTGTCTTTTCGCTCGTGCCCGTATCTCTATCGTCGCTCTAGGCTCCCCACGGGCCGGCCCAGGACCTCAATATGTCGTACAACTACGTGGTAACGGCGCAGAAGCCTACCGCAGTGAACGGCTGTGTGACTGGTGAGGCTGCCCCGGCCAGAGACCCCGGCGGGGGCGGGAACCCAGGCCTAGGGAGGCCGGCGGCCCTGGGGGCGACAGGCGCAAAACTTGAGCTCCGGGAATGGAAGGCGCTGGCAGGCGCGGAACGTCCGCCTCAGCTCTCGGCCTCAAAGGAGCTGTTCCAGCACGCGCCCTTTGAGCAGCGGAAGCTGCTATTGAGGGTCTCTTTTGCTCATAGGAGGTCACTTGGCATTGAGGACTGGCCCAGGCCCGGTGGGACAGAGAGCGAAGTATGAGCTGTATGTGCATGGTTGATTGAGCCCCGAAATTGGCCTCCTGTGGTCAGGGGAAAGGGGCGATCATGATGGGGGTTTGGGAGTCAGAATTTTCCGGTGGGTGTCCAGGAGGTGGAGGAATTTGAGCGATGTCTGCACCCGCCTCGAGGGTGAAAGGCCCTCTCCAGACCCACCCTTTTGCCTGGAGCTGTTGTTTACTCGAGGGCGCTGCCGGAGAACTAGGTTTGGTTGGCCGCTCAGCGTTCAGGCTTTGGTTTGTTTGTGTGCATGGCCCTTTAAGGGCATTCACATCCCCAACCAAAGAACATTCATCTTGAACTCTTATTTTTAAGTGTTCAACCCTTAAATTCGTGTATTTATGTTGATGCTAATCATGATTTCAGAACAAAAGTTTCTTGTTCAAAGCCCTGCAGAGGCCTGAGTGGTAGTGTAGAATCCTCGGGAGGTGAAGGGGTGTGTACGCACAACACGGAAAGCTCTGGGAAGTTTTTTGTTGTTGTTTTTGTTTTTTTAAACTTCACTTTCTGGTGAAAGATCTAGGAGGCTTTGGGTGGGAACTCAAGGAAACACACACTTTCTCCATTAGCTTCTAAATTACAACAGTGGACAGTTGTACTTTAGAAAGGAAAGCCATTGGAAGAGTTTTCGTGGTCATAGTTTGTTGAAGGACAGGGCGTTGCCCAGTCTTAGGACATGTTTAAAAATCTGATAAAGGATGTAGCTTTGTTGAATGTGTGAAACAAGATAAGGTGCTGCGTTTGGTGAGGGGGCAAGGTACTTATGTAGCTGTATTAGAGGTACCCAAAAGGCCCATCCTCCAGCTACAAAAATTAGAGGCTCTCTTCTTGCAGGACACTTTACTTCAGCGGAAGATCTGAACCTTTTGATTGCTAAAAACACAAGATTAGAGATCTATGTGGTCACTGCAGAGGGCCTTCGGCCGGTCAAAGAGGTGGGCATGTATGGAAAGATTGCAGTCATGGAGCTTTTCAGGCCCAAGGTAAGTGGTCCTGGTTGGGCTAGGCAATGAAAGAACCCCTGGTTGCCCATTTTACATGATCTGTTGGGATGAGCAGAGAAACTCTTCTTAAAGAGGGAGTAGCAGTCTTTTACAAGTTTCCTATAAGGAAAGAGAGGTATTAGGGAGAAAACTACAAAGTTGGTTTCTTTAGGGAGGAGAACTTGAGTTTGAATGTGGGTAGCTTCGTTGTTAGTGATGCAGAGGGTAGGCTGTAGTATTGGTCCTAGCTTCATTCCTTATTCATTCTCACTTAAAGCACCTTTGAAAGCAGGATTTCCCTGTTTACGAAAGGGGGTAGCAAGGCTCACTCCCCAGGATTACTGTGAAGATGAAGTGATTTATTTGCACAGCGCATGGCACATGGCTAGCATATCCTATTATCTTAACATTTTCACTATTAGAACTATTCAGCTCTATCCAAATTGCTTCAAAACGCAAATGTTTTTGAGGACTGGGTTAGTAAGACTTTAAAGATCTATTGTAGCTTTCATTGTTATTACTACAGATTTTTCTCTCTCCACATACTTAGGTAAGGGAAAAACATTGCATTCTTCTTTCAGAACTTGAATACAGTGAGATGAATTTAAGAGGACCTTATAGAGCAGAGAGATAGAGAACTGTGATAACAAGGCCTAGTTATTTACCAGCCTCTGACCTGTCCGTTTGTACATACCCTTAGGGGGTGTGTGAGCTTAGTACATGTCACAGGGAGAGTAGAATTTGAAAAGTTCTTTAAAAGCTTAGCATTCTTAAAGAATGATGTTTAAAAGGCTGAATAGGTTGTTCCTGTTTTTGAAAGAACCTCTTTGATAATATGATGTTGGATTCCAGGGAGAGAGCAAAGACCTGCTGTTCATCTTGACTGCAAAGTACAATGCCTGCATCCTGGAGTATAAGCAGAGTGGCGAAAGCATTGATATCATTACAAGAGCCCATGGCAATGTCCAGGTGAGGTGGCTGCTTCAGGCTGGTCAGTTTTTCTGGTAGGGCTGTTATGACTCAGTGATGAACATTTAACTGTTAGGGCATCACTCTGTGTGATCAGAGAGATGGGGAAAGCCCACATGGCTTGAACTGTTTTGATAGTCCAAGGGAAAGTGAATAATTCACCTCATGGGAAAAAACAAATGTGCTGATGTTTGGGCCCCCTGGCTTGTTGGGTGATCTTATGACCTCATCTGCCATGGAAAGCATTGTACCCAGTATCCTCTGCTTCCTTCTCTGACTATTGAGTTTCTTTTCTAATTCTGTTCCCCCCCCCCCCCCAGGACCGTATTGGTCGCCCGTCAGAGACTGGCATCATTGGCATCATTGACCCTGAATGCCGGATGATTGGGCTTCGACTCTACGATGGCCTTTTCAAGGTCATTCCACTAGACCGAGACAATAAAGAGCTCAAGGCCTTTAATATACGCCTAGAAGAATTGCATGTCATTGATGTCAAGTTCCTGTATGGTTGTCAAGCACCTACCATTTGCTTTGTCTACCAGGTACAGGATCTGAGGAGAGAGGGAGAAACTGGTTTGGAATAATGGGTATGGGATTTTTAACCAAAGGAATGTCTGTCTGGATTTGGGAGCAGGATAGGGAGAAGTGTTAACTATTTTCTAAAATGTTTTGAACAAAACTGTTAATAAGGGTCAGGTTTTCCCTCCTGATATTTTGGTTATACTAGTACTTGTTTGGGGGCAGCAAGTACACTCAGATTTATAGCAGGTTTTAATCCTGAGATTATACTCCAGTTGTAGGCCTTGGGGATTTTATAGGGTGACCTAGTTTATCCTTTGTTTGAGTCTCTTACCAGCATGTTAGAGGATTATAAAAACTTAACTGTAGAAAAGTGATTCAGAACTTGCCTTTACAGGCCAAGAGAAAGTATCTTGATAGTGCTTTACATTAGTCTTTGAAAAAGCAGTTCATGTTTTGTCTAGCACTCACTTTCTGGTGACTTGCTGGCTCTTGACTTCTATTTTAGTCTGTGCCTAAAATTTTAGCAGAGCTGATCCTGGACAGCTGTTCTCTGGTTCAGATTTGTTAGGTGGGGGTGGGGCACAGAGATTCAGACTAACATGCCAACATCTCGGTAAAATCTCAGCATTTAACAAAGGGCCAGAATGCATGAGGTCAGGTTACTTGCCTGTAGT